CGACAGCGATAATCTATCACGTAGCAGATTCTAGGTATCGATCAATAAGCGAAAGTTCTGGAGCTTTCAAAAAATCGGCTCAGGACTTTCTTACCATCCCAAGTAGTACCTGTCATAGTTATTGTGGATGAGATAGCAATTCCTAGTTTTCGGGCTACGCGATTGGGCTAAAAGGAGGGGGATAGTTGAGCATTGCTTCTTCCTCTTATCGGTAGAAAAATTAAGACCAATTCGAATTTATTGGATATATCGCTCATCTATTCCGATATCCCAAAGTAGATTCCAAGACGGCTGAATGAGTGTTTAAAATGCCATTGTATAATAGTTGCTAACTAGCCCTTGCATGGAGAAAAAGCAACTGAAACAGTTGAATACACCCCAGGCAGAGCCTTTCTTTTCGAAGGTTACTTTGAGCATTGTGCACGTTTACTGAAACACTGTGCTTCGCAACGAGGGAACACGTTTACTGATACCCTGTGCTCCGCAACGAGGGAGCAAACGGCGAGGGGGCGAGTGAGAATAGTGACGAACGAGACGCACACAGCTCAGCCTAATGTTTCAAATGCGGAGATATGAGCGAGTCACGGGAGCAGATAAGTTATCAGAGCCCTTGCCAGTGCAACTGAGTCCCGAAAATGGCCCTGACACTCGCAGGGCATCGCAAAACCAGCTCAGATGAAAGCAGTTTTGTGAGTCCTTATTGATAAGTGTAGCCATTTTTTCAGGCAATTCAAACTAACCAAGGAATCAGTATTAAAATTTCTCGAAGCTACGGCATTCTTCGAGGGAATCGCTGCAGCTTTCGTATCTGCAGACAAAGAACTCAACGATAAAGCGCATCAAGCTATTTTGAAAATCATTTACACATATTAAATTTAATAAATATTCGAGAATTTGTTGAAGTCGTAACATTCAGCGATTCAAGCGAATCTCTCGTTCGAGGGTATCTCTACAGATTATTTCTTGGATGGAGCTGAATCAAGTGGTGATTGCACTAACCCCATAAAAGGAAGGAGTTGAAGGCACGGCGAGCGATGGACTGTTTCTTACTGGATGTCAACTCAACATTTTCGCAGCTGCAAACCTAAACCGATCCTGTGTATTGCGTTTCGAATTTGGAAAGCAAACGGTGGTACGGTGAACTCTTACTTGGGCCGCCGATGCTATGTCACGATTATCAACACATAACGATGTAGCAGGTAGACATGCTATTCAAAAATCCAATATTAGAATAAAGTAAATATCGAGCGACGATATGTCGTCTGGTACTTGCCGTAATGTGGATGGCGTGGGTGAGATGGTCCTGCGCCATGAATAACTCTTTTACCCATTGTCTAGATTTGTTCTGGAGTTTTTCTGTATTATATTCAATAGATAATGCTTATCCTAACATAGACTCTTTGGGCTGGAAGATTAGGAGTGAGTTAAAAAACCACTTTGGCCTGGAAGATTGGGTGCGCCCAAATTAGGTGACGGTTTCTTGAAGACAGGGAAATCTTCAGTTCCCGTCATTTCTACACTTTTTTCGTGAGTTCAGCAGGTACAAAAAATAACATGCGTTGAAAGCGAGAGATTACGATAAAGTCTGTGTGCAGCATGGAAGAACATGCACCAGTGGAAGCAGTAGCCAGGGGCCCAAGGAATCGAGATGTGGCCTTTTTGTGGCTAAAGGTGCGCTAGTTGCAGCGCCCTGGGGCTGCCAATCCTTTCTGAGCTCCGCCACCGCCTGTGCTCCGCCCCAGCAGCAGATCCTTCGATTATCATTTTGATAAGGTATTCCACTTCGAGCGCGTATCCTATAACTTTCCCATGGAATGCATCAATCAAAGCATGATCTCTTGCTGGTATGATGGTGGCTATCGGTTTAACATGTGCAAACGACCTCTTAGTTGGTTGCTAGCTCGTCCATTATCGGAGGTCAACGGGCAAAGAAAGGGTCCCATTTTGCGCGTTCTTGACGGATTTCTTTGCTTTTTTCGCCACTGGGGCATTCCACTATGAACTTATCCCACTTCTATCGTAATCTCTCGCTCTAAATATGAATTTCTATGAATGGCAGAACTCCGAAGGTATTAAAGGGTTTCTAACGGAAAAACTCACCATTAAAGGCAAAGAACAGTTTTGTGGCGGAACCGTTGGAGAAAAGGTATCCGTCCGTCCAAAGGCCGCCTTCTTGGCCTCGATGCGGAGTCCCGGATCCTCTTCTTTGAGCTGAAGGGGACCTATGCTGAGCGAGTCAGCCCGCGTCCGGGGGGCGGGGGGGAGTGGGTCGAAGTTGAAAGTGGAATGCTTGGTGTATTTCGTTCAGATAGATTGTCACAGCTCTTTTTTATCTCATGCAAAGTACTGCTTGATGTTTATTATAAGCATTAAACTTTGAAATGCTATCCCTTAAAAATGTCGTCCTTAACATCAGCCAATGTTTCGTACTGCGGATCTTTTGCATCAGCTTTTTGCACCTGAAATGAATATTCGAAGGATGAACTGCTTCGGAAGCATTCATATCCCCTTCGAGATTTTCATCAACAGACCTTGGGTGGTTCTTTGAACTTCACTTTCGCAGGCTTTTCTTCTTCTACTTTAGGTGGTGGTTCCTCTTTCTTATCTTCCTCTTTCTTTTCTTTTTCTCTATCGCCAGCAAACAGTTCGTTACCGATTCCGCGCAGCGTCTTAAGTAAGGCACGTATCTTAGAAAACTCTGGAATATCAGCAAATGAAAAAAGAAGTGTAGATATCCCTCTAACCACGAAGCTTATTTCACGAGTGTAGGAAATGACTACTATTTATCGGTGAGAGGGAACGGGGAAACGTCGAAAACACAAACAATACAATGTTTCAAAATTATGTGGACACTTCCAATTCACGTTAAGAAGGTGAGTGAGCGAATCCGTGCTATGCAACCCTCCTTCTAATCGATTCCTCGAGTCGATAACGTCTCAGAGTAATTTTAGGCGCATAATATCGCCTTGCTTTTGTGATAGAAATTCTGAATTAATCTTCTCTTTGTTTCAAAAGTATGCGGACACTTAACAAAAGACATAACTGAGATCAGAAACTAGTCGACCAAGATCCTTGAGCTAATTAGAAAACCTCCAGAGTTTCTAATTAGCTAAACACCCTGTCCGGCATAATGTGAACCACGTTTGCCACAGTAGTTTCGTCGCTGTCGGCCCAAATAGCCTCTACCGCCGCCTTCAGTTCATTCCGCGGTACCCGTACTGCCGGTTGCATAGGGCACTAAGGTCCTCTTGTTGTTAGACCTTTAACGTGAATTCTTAGGGTGTCACATACTTTTAAAAAGCACTGTAGAGAGCTTACACATAATGTTTATTTCAAGGATGAGTCCAACAAAATGTATCCGAGGCAGACAGTTCAAGAGAGAGGATGTCGAGGAGTGGGAAGTGTCAGGAGAGATAATTGAGGACGAGCTAGACCCAGCTATTGACGCATTACAAAGGTGCGGGCCATAGACACACAAGACCAAGGATGTTACTGAATGTGACTTTCATTTGTGACATGGATACAAGCCATAAGCCAGTGGCACCTTTGTCACCCGTTTGTAGTCAGAATGTGCACTATATATGCTTTATCACCCTTCAGAAGGACCGTCTTCATACTTTTGATAACAAAATAGGATTTTAGGTATTATATGAGAACTGATGAGAACCGTTCAAACCTCATACTGTGGGTCTTTGGCATCAGCTTTCGTGATATTTGGCGGTGGTTTGAACTTCTTCTTGCCTTGAACCTCCTCTTCAGGCATCGTTTTCTGCTTAAATTCAATCTATTATTCCTACAAATTACAGGACTTGTTGAGTTATGGACGAAGTGTGTTACCCACGATGGAGCTCCAACCAGTGCGGTGTTTAAAAGAGGTCTTCCTACTATCAGATCATCAAAACATACAGCTTCCTTGCTTAAATGAGCTTGCGACCACTCACGACAGCAACACATTCAGTTTGGGCCAATTTACCCTGAAATGTTTGGACGCGCTAGTGCAGAGGGGAATCCGGCGTTCGGAACCAAAACCAGGGACACTGCCGTTCGCCAAGGAATCGAAGATAAGGTGGGCCGGACACGTCATGCGATTTTGCGATGACCGTTGGACCAGAGCGGTTACCGACTGGATCCCTCGGGACGTCAAACGAACACCTGGACGACCGCCGGCCCGATGGTCAGACTTCTTCACGAAAGCTCTGAACGAAAGGAATGAGGACATCGTGTCCCTCGAGCGAGGAGGGTCCACTGGACAACTCTTGCACGCGACAGGGACGAATGGAGACGTTGCTGGCGCCCGCTCGAGCAATTCGATGATCAACGGGACGACAGGTGATACAGGTGATGTTTGTCATTTTCAAGGAAAACAAGACATGTGAAGTTCGCACTTGAGAACACTGTGAGAGCAATGTGGTTGTCTCATCGTCAACATCAGTATGAGCCACCAATTGCTGGCACCGGTGCTTCGATGACTGTGATGAAGTAAATAAGAAGTAAAGTGAAAGTAGAAAGTAATCATTTTCAACTGGGGATAAATAGGATTTTTCACAAACATGACAGTTCAATTATTTTTAGTGTTCAGAAAAATTATCTCTTCAGATGTTTGAGCAAATCCGCATGCGGCACTCAGGTATTTATCAGCAATTTCCTCTCAGGATTTTAGGAGCCCTGCTCCGAGAAAGTCCATAATAGGAGGCTTGACTCTACAAAATGGCCATGGCCATGTGCCGTTTTCGATGTCGGCTTGCAGGTCGCAGCGTGCCTGCAGGTGGCAAACACTGCCACATTTCCTACTTTAATTAGTTGTGAGCCTTTTTTTTTACACAGTCGTCCCATACGGAATCGTTTCATAAAAATCGACAATGGTAGTAAGTAGTAATATTCAGCTCACCGTTTTAATCACCGTCTTGGGTTTCTCTTTCTCTTTTCTCGGTCTGCTGCGATTCTTTCTTCGCGCTGAAACATTTTCAATCACTTTGTACCTATTTGCTGTATTTCTTGATAAACTTGATTAAATCGGTAGTATGGCTGCAGCTTAATGCTAAGTGCACCGCGAGCAAGTTCCATTCTCAGCGCTCACATCTTCCAGCAATTCATCAATTTTGTTCAGAATAAGCTCAGAAAGACGCGCTTTTAATAATAATGTCGTCCCAGGTAAAGCAGTTAATCAGACCGGCGTGCACGACTGTCCGGAACTCGGGGAAAGACACATTTAGGATTTTTAGCCCATTTTATTCGTTTTTTTTGTACATTTTAACAAACACGTGTTTTACTATTTTTATTGTAGCATTTTCTTTTTCCGGTTACTATACCGAATAACTGTCCTCCCGCTCCACTAGTAGCGCAGCTCTCTGTTGACTCACGGAGTCAGTTAGCTACGTCGCTTTCTGAAGACACATCCCACTATTTACGTCTCTGGAGTAAAGCCATAACACAAGGGAGATAGAGCGGTCCACAAGCACATACATAGAATACACTAACTTCGCAGCTAGAAAATGCCAGGCAGGAGCGCTAGGGCGTAAGGGTGCACATGGGGCTCTACATTAACGTCGTCGGAAGATCCCATTCTCGCTCATATTCTTGCGTCCTACTACTTCCTTATTATCGGCTCCCACCACCTCTTTTCGCTGCTTCTTGTCCTCCACGTCCAGAGGAAAGAGGTCTCAGTCTGCAAGCTGGCAGGTGGTTTTTCCCTTTCCTTAACTGTCGGTCCGACCTGCTTCTACTTTCAGCAGAATAATCGTACCAATTTGATAGTGGGGTGTGGCTTTGAAAAAGCCGCTCCGCGTTTATACATCGCAAAAGTGTGTGCTCTACTACTGACATATCCGCAAGGCTTGTAGCTGACCAAATTATGTGAACGGTACCCGTGCCATTTGTCTCGAAAATAAGCAACTCACAGGTTCCGGCTGCTTTGGTTCTGGCTTTGCTGCTTTTACTTTCCCACTGGACTGTAACAAGATTAAATTCGAAGTTATCATATTCCGAGCTGGCAGTAAAATCAGATATACAGGGGGCAAATAAAAAAAGACATTTTGTCTCCAGACTCAATTTAATCACACTTTGCTCAGCTCAAAGCGTGTGCTCCCAACTTAGAATTGAAGAGCGCATTTCATTTCATAAGAAAATCTTCATAGTGGCCATCTACGTGGACGGCATCAGAAAAGTTTGCCCCGGAAACATGGTGCTCTGGTCGAGCTCAATGGGGTTCTCGACTGATCGTGTACCGTTACGACGGGTTCCGAAGGGCGGGTTCCGAGGGGGTTTGCATAGTTAGAGCTAATGTCCCTAGGAAACTATCCCACGTTGAATCGATCCAAGAAATTATGTAAGAGCTTCAGGCTGAAGCAGTTACGGTAGGCCTCCTTGAGCTCGACGACGGTGACAGATGACGTCATATTCTGAAGACGGTGAGGGTAGTGAAGGAGGGCCTGCGTACTTATAGAGGGACATTTAGGGAATATTTTTGCTGAGAAACTTCCGTCAACGACGGCAATCTCTGCGAAGAAAAAAGGCCGAAGTGCGACCTGGGCAAAATGTCTTTTTTTGCCCCCCCCCCCCCCCCCCCTCCTAGACGTTTTTCTTTCGATGAGCGAGATTTTTCACTGTCATTTTCCTCCCGTTGTTGTTTTGAAGTCAGAAAAAACTACGATACTTTTCCTTCACTTTTTTTTGAAGGTTCAAATGAAACTGAATATTGTTGAAGGTATGCCGGAAAC